AGGTTGACATTTGTGAGTATATGAAACACAAGAGTTTGTTCTTGTACAATCATTGTTTAATTATTGTATTATCTTCCACACAAACATCTGTAAGCCTACTTTTGCCCCACGCTATATTGTTAGACCCAGTATTTCTTTTTCAGTTCGGAACCGTTTCTCTTTTGGAGTATCATGGCTCAGTAATTGTTGACAAGTGGTCCTGGCAGATAACTTCCGCTGGAGTTACTTAGTACTTCATCAAGGATGTTTTCTAGGGTGCTGGTCACAGCCCCATGCTTACCCCCAAAGGCAAAAAAGATGTCCTCTTTCAGAATCTTTCTGGAAATAGAAATTAAGCAGGCATACAGACAAACGAGCATTGAGTTTTTTGTTTGTTTCTGTTTCTGAATTTTGGAGAAGGATTTTTGCTGTTTTATCAAGAACCTAGTGCTGAACATGTTTACTTGCTGCCTTGGATTTTTCTTTCGGTAGTATTTATTTGTTTCTCCCCCTCCCCACCCCCGCCCCAAGGTCTCAGAACTAGGAAGGTAACTTTGGAGTTTCCAAAGAAATAGGCGATATCATGTCTGTCCTCCAGAAGCGGCCAGATGACAGCCCCGTGCGTCACTATGGGAACGGCGATCTGGCCGTCAGGAAACCAGGGTCTCTGCAGAACGCTGCTGCTTAACCAGCCATGAAACCCTGCCAACCACTTAACTTGTTTGACCTTCTGTTTCCTCATCAGTCATGTTCTTTCGATCCCTGAAATTTTGTGAAAATAGAATGCCAAACACAGAAATACCCGATGGCTGGGCGGTCTGGGGAGACCCCACAATAACTGTGTTTCCTTCAGGGTGTCTAAAGCAGAGCCCAGCCTGGCTTTCCCGGGGCCAGGCTTCCCAGCAGGCAGGGCGTGGCGCTGGTTTTTCATGTGGCAACAGGGAGATTTAAGTTTACAGGAGTAAGCAGCTGCAGAAGTCTGAGAGGAGGACTTTTCGAGGCCTCCAGGGGCCCAAGCTGGAAAAGGCAGAGAAGCCCTTTCCTCCCTGAAACCGGAGCTGTGCCTCTTAACACCGTTCCACTCAGACCAGGGAACTGGTTCTTTTCTGGCATTTTTTACTCTGTTCCAATTCCTACAGCATTGACTTGTCTTCTGTGAAAGACCAACAGCGACACCTTCGGCTTCTGCAATATTATCTCAAGGGACTTTTTAAAAAGAAAATACTATCTTGGAAATATGTGGACTCCATGTTGAACATCATGTTTTCGCAAAAGGAGAATATGATTGGCCTTAAACTTTTTTTTTTTTTTTTAAAGATAAGTGATTGCAACAGTTTTACTTAGCTCTTAAGGAATTTAAGTGCCGTGGGATAATGAGCGAAGTTTACTGACTCACCTGCCTTTTCCTCTGAATGTAACACACCTGTCGGACTTTCGAAGGCGAGGCGCTGCGCCGGAACTCCACACGAAGCCCTTTCCTTCGAGCTCACTTTCCATGTGCCTTTCGTGGTCGGTTCATGGGGGAGCAGTAGCCCTCCGAGAACAATCTGGACAGGCTCGAAACTGGTTCTGGCCGCACCAGAGCCAACATTTGACGCAATGCAATGTATAAGAAGTCCTTGATCCTTGTATGAAGCCCTGGAGGAAGACTGTTTGGTAAAGTTTGGATACAAAAGTTAACGCATGAAGTCTAGCCTGTGGCAATGGGAAAATAGAAACATTTTGGTGGTTTTCTTCTCGTTTCCATTGTACTTATCACCAAAGTAAAGCACTAGGAATTGCTCTGTGTATGTGCCTACTGTGTCAGGAAATAAATCTTTAATGAGCCACCGTATCGTCAGAATGTTCAAGGCAACGTGGAATTTGTTCTTGAGGAGCCACGTTTCACCAGCCCTCACTGGGAGCCACTGGCGCGGGTGGCAGGTTCTCACACGCGTACTCTGTGGGTTTCTGCTGTGGCGTCGTTCAGGGGAGCTGGAAGTGCACAGAGGCGGCCCGATGAAGCCCTAGAGACCGGGGGCACTGTCAGCTCCATCGTCGCGTGGCGTCCTCCACAGCGCTCGCAGTCCACAGAGACCACCTTACCATTTACTCACGTAAAGCCTCAAAATCAGATTTCTAGTTAGTTCAAGGCTGTTCGCTGTGAAGTAGTTTATAAATCCGTTCCAGTGGGACTTCGGCAAGGGAGCACTTTTGCATGAACAGAATGTTTTGTTGCCTACGGTGAAGGAATTTTTCCTGATCTGTAGCATCCCAGAATACGATGCACCTTTTTCAACGCATGGGTTGAGTGACCATGAGCCTGACAAGTGTGGTCTGGTTTTCACCGTCATTGTGTCGCTTACTGAGATCTGCTTCAACAGGAGATGACATGGAAAGGTCTCCCTTTGGGCTCAGGAGACCCCGCCAACAGGGCAGCGCGCGCTGCCCCCAGACGTCCCCCAGTCTCCGGAGAGTGGCTTAGAGCGTGAGGCCTGGGGTCCAGCTGCCGGCATTGCCTCTGCATAAGCGCTGTCCTCTCGGTCGTGGTGTTTCGCCTACCTGAGCTGTAGTTTTGTCACCTTTAAAATGGAGATCATCATATGTCTCTCTCATAGTGCTGTCTGGGTAAAACGTGTGAGGGCTCAGGACCACGGACTGAGCACAAAGCAAGTGCCTCGCAGAAAGCGTTAGCCCCCAGCGCGTCACCACGTTGTTCTTGCAGCATTGCCCTGCACTAATTTGTTTACACGTTTGGGTTTTGTTTTACTGGCCTCCTTCAAGTCAGGGATGCTTTCTTGGAATTTACCCAACGCACCGCAGAGCTCGGCTCAGATAAACAGCTGATAAATGATCAGGGAGTGAGTAAGTCAGCACATGAGTAGAATATCTGATCTTCTGTGGTCTCTTTTCTCACCCATTTTGTCTTATTGTGGTAAGATATACACCATAAAATTTACCATCTTAACCACTGCCAGTGTACAGTCCAGCGGTGTTGAATATACTCACAATGATGTGCGACCGTCGGCTGCCGTCCGCCTCCATAGCTCTTTCACCTGGAAACACGGGGCCTCTGCAGCCAACACACAGGGCTTTCTACTTCCTTCTCCCCGGCCCCTGGCAACCACCAGTCTACTTGCTGTGTCCGTGATTTTGGCTGCTCTAGGGACCTTGTGTAAGTGGTGCACAGCATTTATCGTTTTGTGACTGGCTTGTCTTAGCATAATGTCCTCAAGGTTCATCCCTATTGTAGCAAATGTCAGAGTTTCCTTCCTTTTTAAGGCTGAACAATATTCCTTTGTGTGTATAGATCCCATTTGGTTTATTCATTCCTCCATTAGTGGACACTTGGATTGCTATTAAGATGAACGTTACTGAAACATTAGCCTCCTAATTGTATTTCTCTACTCAGAATGTTCACTGGCTCAATGACTCACTATTTTCGTTTTGTTTTTAAAATGTGAGCCTCACTCCTACCAAGCTGGCTATATCCTCTTGCGAACGCTGTCCTCTCCGGTTTACCGGACGCCGACATCTGTGCTCGCTTCCAGCTCTGCCCACGCGTGGCTTTTGTCGTGATGCCCATAGGAACCCCTTTCCTTCCAGTGCCTGGAGTCTCATGTCACACAGCGCATCTGTGTTGCATTTCCATGTTGCATTTTTGCTGCTGTTGCATGTGTACTGGTCTTTACTTGGCAGTTGAGGATGGTTGTCAGGACCTGAGGGGCCGGACTGTCACCTTGACCTCTGTGTGTGCTCCTGTCTCCTGCCCAGCACCTGGGGCTGGGGCTGGGGCTGGGAGGGCGGGTGCTTCTATCCCCTGTCAGCTCGGCCCGCACAGAGCCTGCCGGAGGCCGTCGCGTGCGAGAGGGACCCTCTCCGTCAGCTTAGTTCACAGGCCTCTTGTTACGCTATTCAAAACAGAAAGTCTGTTGTTGAACTTTTAGTAATAATCAAATGGGGGTCGGGGGTAAGGAGTAGTGCCCTGGGGTGCATGTCTTCTGACCGCCCCCCCCACCCACCACTCGTGTTTGTAGGGGTTTGGGGTGGGTGCCACCTGGAGGGGGTGGGCCTGGTAAGAAAGGACTGTTTTTGTTTGCGCATTGAGAAATTCAATGTATGCTTGTTTGAATGCAAATATATACATATATATATATGATTTGACTGATGTACCTTAAAAAATTTTTAAATATGTTAATGTAAGCCATGACTAATCACCTTAATTAGTAGATATACAAAGGAAAGTTTTTATAAATTGGGTGTAAAGTAGTGAAATATAGAAGTACACAAACAGTGAGCCTGCCTCAGGCCCCACAGCCGCCCGGGCGGGTCCCCCACGCCCCTGCCCTGCCCCCGCTGCGGCCGCACTTGTCAGTGCCTCGCTCTGTCAGCTCCCCGGCCCTGCCCCTCGCCTGGGCAGGAATTCCCCTCGCAGAGCTTCCCCCTCAGGAATAGATTTTTCTGGCTCACTCCTGCCTCGCCAGCGCATCTCCCTCTCCAAGGACCTAGACTTACACGTTCTCCTACGATTTCTAAAAAAAGACACTCGTGTGAAGTTACTAGGGAGAGAAAGGGTGTTGTGTGATTGTAAGGACAACAGAATTATGTTAATACTGTTAGAGTCTTAAATTTAGGAAAGTTAAAATTTATATAATTGAGAGCTGGCCACTCAGACATTTTTTTGGTGGCACTCTATTGCTGGTCTGTCGATGTGCGAGTTTGCCTTCGGCAGGATGAATTATGACGGTAGCCAGATCTGGAGCTCGCGTTCCAAAACCTGGCGAGTTGACTCAGGAGGGGCGGTGGGCTGGGGAGTAGTGAGCAGTTCGTAAGTCATGTTTGAGGTCTGAGGCTGTTTAGGAAAAAATTAGAAGGACATATTTCTCAGAGTGTGTTGACAACTGATATATTTAGAAAAGGCTAATTCAATCTAATAAATATAACAGATGGTTTGTTGTACATATTTGGTAAGTCTTGCTTTCAATTTATATGAAATTGCTCATATTTTATATTAGCATTAAAAATCCTCCTTCTTCTTGCAGAATCACAGCGAAAGATTCGTCTTCATTACAGAGTGGTATGACCCAAACGCTTCGCTTTTCCGACGTTATGAGCTCTTGTATTACCCGGGGGATGGATCTGTTGAAATGGTAAACAAACCTTCCTGTGCTTGAAAGTTGGCAAGGGTGTGAAGTTGGGATAGGGAGGGGAATCAGACTGCATTTTAGATAGCATGTTTAAAAACACTTTTACATCTGTGTTTTTAAATAGGAATTCTTTAACTGAAGTGGGTTATTCATGTTTTGGATTAAGCAATAGCCAGTACGTGGTTATAAATAAAGATTGTCCCAGTCATAAATATGTCACCATTATTGAAAGCTGTTGTCTCTTCAAAAAGCCAAATTGAAGAAGATCGATTATTTCTTCTGCCTGTTTCTCTGTGTTCCTTCATCAGCAATCCGTTCTATGGATGAATCTTTTTGGTGTTGGAGTTTTGAATCTATCAGTATTGCAGGAAAGCAGAAATTCGGAATTTCTCTGGGATTTCAGAGGGACTAATTTGCTGAAATGATTTGGCAGTGCACAAATCTTTATATTTAGTGGTTTTAAAAAGTATTACATGTGTGAGAATTTTTTGTTATTACTGGACTAGACTAGGAAATACAGAAGTTACAGAACAAATTATGGTTTGCGTTTACAGCAGAAACAAAACAGAATGTAACCCATGCTTAATGAAGCAGAATTAAGAACTTTTTCTAGTTTATGGTAAGATTAACACTCCCTGCTTATAACTTTGTTTCGTTGTGTCATTATTTTTGGTCCTAGCATGATGTGAAGAATCATCGCACCTTTTTAAAGCGGACCAAATATGAGGATCTCCACTTGGAAGATTTATTCATAGGCAACAAAGTGAACATCTTCTCTCGACAACTGGTGCTAATTGACTATGGGGATCAGTACACAGCTCGCCAGCTGGGCAGCAGGAAAGAAAGGTAGGACGGCGTGGCCTCCGCTGGCCGTTGTCATGATCAGGGGAGGAGGCGCTTGGCTCTTCGTGCATCACCCGCGCCGTACGTGTGAATGTGGACAATGGGAAAGTGTTAACGGAAGAGCTTATAATTATTTCCAAACCAGCGCTGACCTGGCTGAATGGCTTACATGTGTTTAAGTCAACGAGACCAGAAATCAAGCTTACATTGAATACAATTTTTTAGAAATTTTTCCTCTTTATGAAATGTATTAAAAGAAATAGAAATTTTTAAAATCTGCTTTCTAATTTTGGCATATTAAAATAACAGTTTTTTAAAAAATGACAATTATAACATTTTTCCCTAAGCTTTTATTATTATTGTTAGATTGGGTACTTTATTTTGTTTTTCCTGGAAAAAATATGTAGTTAACTTTGTAGAAGTTTTTAAGAGACCTTCAGTATACTTCTCTTCATAATGTATTACGATGTTTGATGATATAGGATGATTAAGGAAACGAAACAGTGCTTGGGAATTACAAGTAAAATCTGCTGAGCTATTTTTATTTTGAAACTTATTCTTTATTTCTTTACAGAACATTAGCCCTGATTAAACCAGATGCAATTTCAAAAGCTGGGGAAATAATTGAAATAATAAACAAAGCTGGATTTACTATCACAAAACTCAAAATGATGCTGCTTTCAAGGTAATTTATTGATAATTTTCAGTTATTCATGTCTAGTTCCCTTTTTAAAAAAAAATCATCTTTTGTCATTCCTGTCATTGTTTAAAATTTAAAAATCTCCCACTGAAAGGAAAAAAATAGAATCGTGATCGAATTAGAATGAGCAAACGTAAGACACTTGGCCCCGAGGGATGCAGCTCTGAGCGAGCAGTCGTCAGTCACACGCGCCTCGTTACCGCGGATTCTCTCCCGATGCTCGTACCTCCCCTGTGTGAGCATTGCAGCCTCTTAATATATCAGTGTAACTCTACATACAAATGGTAGGAGAAGAAGTAAGGGTTGCATTATTTCCGTCTGACACGGGAGTGTTACTGTTGAGATTTTCAAAAGCGATGCATTTGGAAATGTTTGGATTTAGCTCCTCCTGATGAGTATAATTGGGAAATACGCCTGGTTACTGCCCTGGAAAGCAGTCCATTCGCTGTGACCCGGTGTTTCCTAAGTCATTTGGTGACAATAGGACTTATGTACAGCAGGGGCGTGACGGAGGCGGTGAGGTGGAGCTGGCCCGGCCGTGTTCTGTCCCCCACTGGCGTGTTGTTCCTTTGTGGTCAGGTGTCTTCTCACGCTGTCCCTGGGCCTCTGGTCCCCGGGACAGTTGCTCTTCTCTCTCGGAGGGCAGGAATGGGGATTGCTGTGCATATTTGACGTCGCTTTGATTAAGTTTGTTCCCTAGAAATCTTAACAAAACACCCTCCATTCAATCCCAGCAATGACATACATTTAATTTGGATTTTTCCCCTCTGTGAGATCTCCCAGTTTTACATTTTCTGGGAAGGCAGGAGGCTTCTACTTCAGAGCACAGGACCTAGAGCTAGTTTCCTTATACCTGTGCCCCTCACTAGGCATGTGACTGCAACCGTTTACCTCGGCGCTTCAGTTTCTTTGCCTGTAAACACTGGTTAGGATGGCACCTGGTCAGAGGTTGTCAAGAGGGCGACGTGGGTTTATTGTCTGCAAGGCGCTTTGAGAGACCCTGGCCCAGAGCGAGCGTGTCTCACTCTTCACCGCTGTTAGGAGTAGTGGTAGTGGAGCGATCTCACTTTTTCAGTGGAAACCAAGGCCGTGACCTTCTCAGGTATTTAACTTTGTCCCGCTTCCATGTGTACGGAGAGCGCTGGCGCGGAAAAGCAGGCAGGGGCCTGAGTTCTGGAGAGGTGACTCTGAGGGGCCTTAGTGAGACAGAACGTTTTTTATGTCTCTACACGTCTGCTGCCTGATAATTTAGCATCAAACTTCCCGTGCAAGGGATGCCCAAGAAAACTTCGTCTTGAAGTGTTCACACCACCTCATGCATCCCTGTTAGTAATACCGTCGAGTCTTGGATCTTACCCAACTTAAACGCCAATGGGCTAGCCCGTGACTCTTCAGGGACGTTAGCAGAAGACACGAGGCTTCCAGGGCAAAGGCAGAGGACTCTGTCATGGCGCAACGGCAGCACGTGGCTCCCCTGGCCGCCTCCGTGTCCCATGGGAGTGGTGGGACGTGGGCCCCGGTGGATGTTGTGTACACAATTGGCTGTACCCCAGCTGAGGAGCCGTGAACTTGGGTCGCCCACTGTTTTGCCAGCAAGCAGTAAACAAGCCTGCTCTTTGTACCAGGGAGAGACATGACCTCACCTCTCAAATCAACCAACTTAAACATACCTCTGAGAAATGGTGGGATAAGGCGCAGCAGGGCCTGCGCTCCTGGCACGTCCAGTAGGGCGTGTCAGGAGCGCCGGAGACCCGCGGGGGAGTGTCTCCCCATACTTCAGTCTTCTCTCAACTGACCGGCTTCGGTTCCTCCATTACTTTCGCGTCCTAAAGGCAGTCGCTGAGTTCCATCTGACGTTCTAGTTCTAGCTCTTGGAACAGCTCTTACTCAAGGTAGGCACCAAGTAAACATTTCTTGAAAGAACAAAGGGTTAGATCTTTGTGAGAGAACAGTGCATTTCTGTAAAAACAACAAGACTTCTCTAAACGGTGATGCACTTCTTAATATCTCTTTCCATCTGGACTTTTTAAGGTGGACTCAGAAGAATGGTGGGGAAAACCCATGGCCTCTCCTCCTGGTTTCAGTTTCAGATCTTGAATGGCGCCAACTCTGGGGCTGGTGGCTGGGAAGAAAGCAGAGAAGCGATTTCAGTAGTTTATTAAGCTCTTTCTTCTTGTTGATAGTGAAGGTTACAGTTTTTCTCCTTTAGTGGTTCAGTTGTGCTGAAGAAGTAGCGCTGGTCACTTGTAGCCTTGCGGCTCACTTTGCCAAAGCGCCCCCACCCCCGGGGTGTTTCGGGCCTGCAGTTTCACTTCGTGTTAGGTTGCAATGCAGTGTACCCCTTTCATTTTTGTGAATCCGTCCCCTTATCCTCTAGGATTTTATTTTCTGAAGTTGGTAATAGAAAAGGCATGAGCAAAAAAATTGAGAAAAGAAGAGTTGAGCAGAATATTTGGTTAAAAAAAAAAAAGTCATTAATTCAAATACAGATCAAATAGAGGATTTCATTTTTATTTGATTTAATGCAAGCTAAAATAATCTTCTTGTGTAATTGTTAACTGTTGTCATTCTGATTATTTTATAGGAAAGAAGCAACAGATTTTCATGTAGACCATCAGTCAAGGCCCTTTTTAAAGTAGGTACTGAAGCTGAGGCTAATGGTGTATAATGAAGAATATCTTAGAAAACCAAAGAGTCATAATTTACAATTAAAAACTTTGTTACACAAGAATAATCTGTCAAAAGGACCACACAGCAACATCTTGCAACTGCAGAGAATTTTTTCTAAGAATTTGTCTTGCTGCCCTTTTATTAGATAAGAACTCTTATCACTAAATATCTTAAAAGTATAATCAGAAGCAAATAGGATGATTTTAAATTATAGGGAGCATAGCTTTCTTTTAGATTTCAGTAGATTTAAAATGGAGTGGTTATTTCATGTTGAATATTTATTTTTGCTATGCTTTAAAGCTCTTATTTTAGCAGTCTCATGCTAAAGAATCTATATGTTCTTTATGTTAAAGAATCTAAATGTAAGATGCTATAGAATCAATGTTCATAGAACCCATATATTTTAAATATTGTGATTTACATTTTTTTTCCTTGAAATATAGTAAAAAATATATCTTAGAAACTGAATCTATGTTCTAAATGTTTGGGTGGTTGTTAAATTTAACTGAACATTGTGCATGTCATATTACTGTTGACAAAAGAGTGCTTACATTTCTACTAAAGAAGGGTGTTAGCCAAGCTGCTAAGATAGACATGCTACTTGGTATCCTGCACAGAATAGTGGTTTTTTTAATTAATATTTTATTTACTTATTTTTAGAGAGAGGGGAAGGGAGGGAGAAAGAGAGGAAGAGAAACATCGATCCCCCAACCAGGGAAAGGCCCACAACCCAGGCATATGCTCTGACTAGGAATCAAACCCGCGACCTTTCACTTTGAGGGACAATGAGCCACACCAGCCAGGGCCAGAATAATGGTTTGTAAAAAACTTTAATACAAGAAATTTATTATGTTATAGATTCTTTTAAGTCCAGCATTATGAAGTGTTCTCAAGCCTTGTTAGAACAGGCTTATATAATTCTCCTGGAAGTTACTCTTTGTTATAGTCTTTGTATGTGTTTGTTGCATCATATCGCAGCTCCTGATTTAATACCTTACATGTGATTAGTATGTGGTGAGTTTCATTAATTGGATGAATTAACTAGTTTTCATACTAAGAAAGACATGATGAAAGACGCAGCTGCCATGTGGGGTAGTTTTGCGAAGCAGTGCCTTACAACCAGACGCGCGGTCCCTGCGTCAGCACACGCCTCGCTCACACCGTGGACTTGCTCTGCCGTGAGCATGGGGAATTCTGTGTTAATCGGACATCAGATCATTGGTTTCTTGAGGGAAACTTCCTGTTTTATAGCCCATTCTGATTTGTAGTAGGTGATTGTTAAATGCTTATTGATAGATAAACACGTGCTTCTTCCTTTGTCTTGGATTCCTTAAATCTGATCCTTTTTGTCACCCAAGGCCTAGCAGAACTTGTATGAGGAGGCCCTGTGGGCCTTTCAGGATGAAGGGTGGGACTACCTCTATGCCCATACTATTTCTCAGCACTGTTCTCCAACGTGAAGCGATTTACAAAGGCAGCGCTGCAGGGGGCTGGCTCACGGAACGTGGGTCCGCAGGGAAGGAAGCGTGTGCCAGGGCCCAGAGTTACGGGTGCCGAGGGCTTGTCGCGCCCCGCTCCTCTCCGGCGGGGTCCGGGCCCCCGTCTCAGTTAAGGTGAGAGAGACCCGGGCTTCTGTTAGAAAGCTGTCCCTGCTTGACACAGCCGGAGGGGCGGGGTTGCCCTTCTCACAGAGAAACTGGGTCCCTGCCGCGCACACAGACAGAAGAAAACCAGAGGCCTCGCGTGTCGCACGCCTGGGGGACCCGCGCGACTCAGCGCTGGGTTTCCGTCCCGAACCTGCGGGAAGGCGCTAAGGACTTAAGGCGGGACTAAGTCGCGGTGGCTTTTATACTGATAAAAGGGTATTTCTTGAAGGCCTATTGATTTCCATTTTTTATAACTAGACCAACTAAATGCTTATTGATTGAAAGTTAATTGCCATTCTTTAAATTCTTATAGTTTTACACAAAGTAAATACTGCAAATATCTTACAAGACCTCACTCTCATCTTATTATGAAATTGTATTTGACACAATGGTAAAGCACATGAAAACAATAAGGAAGATTTTTCTGTACCTTTCAGAGCAACAGGAAAAGCATAGATCAACTGTGTGCATCTTTAAGTTGTGAAACATTCTCAATTTTGTGAAAACGATGTTTCTGCTAACAGTAATTGCTCTGACAACACTAGCAATTTGTAAGGAGTCGGGCCACGGCAGGACACTCAGTTTATGAAAAATGTATCATGCCCATGTAAAATTTGCTATAGCCAGTTCTGATATCATCATATCCACGTATGTGTTGAAGTACTCAAGTCACACAATATCGTTGTTGTCAAGAGAGAGACCTAGGTTGACAGATGAAGCTAATCTATCTATTACCTGTTTCCTAGTGAGCTGATCCAGTTCATTACAAGTGGCCCTATCATTGCCATGGAGATTCTAAGAGACGATGCTGTATGCGAATGGAAGAGACTTCTCGGACCAGCCAACTCGGGGGTGGCACGGACGGCCGCGCCCGGAAGCATCCGAGCGCTCTTCGGCACCGACGGCCTGAGAAACGCGGCTCACGGCCCTGACTCCGTTGCTTGCGCAGCCAGAGTGGGTGTTTCAGAGACATTTGAGTTCCGCTTGAGTTTGTGAGATGTCTGGCGTCCCAGTATAGCATTTCTGTCGCTGCTGGCGTGGGGTGGAGTGGGTTTATACAGCTAATCTTGTAGAAAACACCGGGGCCTTTTGCCTAGAATTAAACAGCGTTTCAGTGATCTGTCCCCCTGTGAGCTGGTAATCTGGTCACGGCCAAGATAAGCTTCCTCCATTTGAAATACTTGTCCCGCTTCTTGTTCCACAGACTAACATTACTGAGGCTCAACAATATTTGAATTACTGAATTTATGTAAGAATACCAGTTTATGTACTCTGAATAGTCAAAAGAAAATCATTACTTGATATATTCTTTCCTTGACTCCTAACACTCTATTTTCAAGCTTAACATCCTTTTCTTTTCCTATATATATTATATTATATTATATAATAATATAATTGTAATATATAAAATATTTTATTATAGTAACTTATCATAGGACTGTAGTAAGTTAATCAGTTTTAACTAACTGTAGTTCTGATTCTTGAATACTAATCTCTATTCCTATGCAGATTTTTCAGTTTTTGGTTTTATTTTACATATTTTGATAAAACATTTAAAACTCGACCTGTGTCTCATGACAATGGTTTGGGGAAAATAAGGACCTTATATTGATTACTTCCAATATTCAAAATATGTTAAGACATTTTCAGTTTTAATCATGGGTCAGAATGATACATATTCTCGTTGCTTTAGGTAATTCTTCTTCATATGTCCTTTTGATTCTAAGACTTTAAACAGGATTCAGTTCATTTTAATCAGTTAAAATAATTTTTAGAAAATTAGTGAATTTATATTATGAAACTTTAAAAGTCAGTGTATAGTTCTTCCTCTTTCACATAAATATGCTAAGAGTTAAAGATAAGAGATTACATATACTGATGCCATTTCTCTCTTTTTTTAGGAAATGGAGTTGTTTTTTCCTTCGAGTGGAGTCTGTGGGCCAGCGAACACCGCTCAATTTACCAACTGTACCTGTTGCATCATTAAGCCGCATGCCATCAGTGAAGGTCAGTGCTATGTTGAGTGCCACACATACGATTCATTTTACTTGTAAGAGCTGCTTTTGTTAATGTCTACTTTCTTGATGTATTTTATATGTAGAAATTAAAGTATAACTTTAATATTGCATTTTTTCCCAAAGGCACATATGAAGAAAGGGTGACAAAATATGAGGGATAAATCTGTCTAAATCTATGTTTATCTTTGCATCTGTGTATTTTTTAAAGATTTTATTTATTTAGAGAAAGAGGAAGGGAGGGAGAAAGAGAGGGAGAGAAACATCAATGTGTGAGAGGTACATCGATTGGTTGCCTCTCACACACCCCCAACTCGCACACCCCCAACTGGGAACGTGGCCTGCGACCCAGGCATGTGGTCTGACTGGGAGTTGAACTGGCGACCTTTGGGTTCGCAGGCCAACGCCCAGCCCACTGAGCCGCACCAGCCAGGGCCACCTGTGCATTTTTAAAAGGTGTTCCCTGGGCTGCCGATCACGGTCTTGCTCATCCTGTACACGCCTTTGTTCCTTCACTGTGAGCCCGCCGCCTCTCCTCCCAGCCACGCAGCGTGATTCACTTCCCTCACTCACGCAGCCGTTCTGCGCGCGGTCGGCAGCAGTGTCTGCCCTGCGTGTGGTCTGCCCCTGCCAGGGAAGGAGGAAACTTCCTTCCATGCTTAGTGTCCGCAGTGGAGTCTGTGGGCGCTACACACACACACACACACACACACACACACACACACACACACGAAATTAAATAAATATCTATACACACATATGTATATGGCAGCCAGATGTGTATCTATGAACGTATACTGAGAGTTTGCAAGTTTTTATATTCATTTCTCTTTGTTTTTATTCTGTTGTATATATTTTTGTCAGCTATCCCAAATCCTTTTGGAAATGAGATGGGATATAATTTAAAAATCATCCTTAAAAAATGAGAATATACTAAATAATAAACGTACTTGAATGGATTCAACATTTTTTCCTATGTAGTAAAATAATTCAGATATACAGTAGGAAATAACAAAAATTAAACAAACAATAAAAGTTACCTGTTTTTTCATCATCCTGAGGTAGTCATTGTTGATATTTTGATGTCTTACAAATTTTTTCCTTGTGCATATGTGTATATATGTATATAACTGACACACGAATGTAATATTCACATGGTCAAGATGTAGGTCTATAGGCTGTGGTTTTAATTTTGGGAGCATCTTTGGCTGCTCTTAATTATTCATAAATGTTTGAATAGTTGCACACTATGCAACCATATAGGTATAATATAATATACAGATACTTAGTTTCAAGTTTTTTGATGTTAGAAAGAAAGCTTTGAAGAATATACATAGATACTTGACACTATCTCCAATCATTTCCTCTGGCTAGTTACCTAGTAGTAGAATTATTGGTTGCAAGGAAAAGATCTTGTTGATATTTAATACTCCATTAATTATTTAGGAAGTACTTTAATATCTTTTAGCTCCTTGGGACCATAATTACAGAGAAGCAACAGGCATGATGGGTAACAATCATTTATGGAGAACTTACCACAATGTGCCAAGTAGTAGACTGAGTACCTGTACATTATCTCTTTTAATCTCAGCAATTATGTCAGATGGGTGGAGAGGGTGCGTGCGTGGGTGCGTGCGTGTGTGTGGATCTCTCCCAGAAAATGAGCCTCTCTGAGAATCCATCATTCCCCCAGCTCAGAGCAGGGAAGCCCAGTGTGAACTCTCTTGTAGCTCCGTTTCTTCCCTCCACACGCATGGCTCCACGGCAACAGCAGCAGGCCTCACGCGGTTGGCGGCACTCCCATAGGAAGTAACAGTAATGTTCGAAATGGCTGGTGTTGATGTTCTGTGAAGAAAGACTGGGATTTTATGTGACACTAATTTTCCTTACCGGGACATAGATGCACGCACACAGTACATAGACACACATTTTAATGTGATGAGACAGTGAGTTCTTGCTAAAGGCCTCAAGGCTATAAAAAGCTTATGTTTGGCATCTTAATACTTTCATTTTAATCTTCATCCAATTTAATTTTTTCTAAGAAAAGTGGTGCATGGAAAGAGAGAGAAGTAAAATAGAATACTAGTTATAGATCTTACTAATTGCATAGATAAGCGTACTAAATCTATTAAAAATGGTTATACAAGTGAAGGGTGAGGTCAGGATGACTGATTTAACATTTACACAGGTGTAACTCATTTTTAGTCAGCTATTCTTTAAAGATTAACTATATTTTATATGTTTATATTTGATACATAACATTTGAGGCTAATGAGTTAAGGTAAAAGAAATTTTCATAAAATTTAATCAAATGGCAGAATAAACTATGTCATTTGAAGGCTTTTTTTCCCCTTTTATCTCTAAACTTCAATTTTAGGGACACTTTTGACCATTTCGAAATATGTAATTAACCCTTTAGCTTGGAGTTAAACTGTGGCTACAATAAAATACAATTCGAAGTCTCATACTGCATTTAATACAAGAGCCCCACAGCCCCCTTTCGAAGACCGGTTTCTGTTTATCTGCTTCTATAAAGACCCCATTCCCTGGCGTATGTCATTGCACCTGTGGTCTGGGGCGGGTGTGAGCAAATACGAGGCTGAGGAAAACGTTGCCGATGAGAGAGCCGCGGGCGCCCAGAGAAGGCCAGAGCGGCCTGCTGGCCAGGCAGAACCCTGCGCGTTGCCCGTTGCCCTCAGGGAGCGCCCCTTGGGGGAGCGGCAGTGGCTTTACAAGGTCATGGGCAGATTTCGGGGCGTTTCGGGTAGACCCCGAGGGTTGGAAGGTGGGCCTGTCAGCACAGTGATCTGACTGAAACTGGGCGAAGTTCAACAGTGGGGCGAGGACCGGAACCAAGTCTTTTAAGTGCACAGTTGTTTAATAAGTGAGTTGTTTACCCAGTTGAGGGAATATGGTGAAAAGGGGATTGTTTGAGCAGCCTATGTTGGGGGTAAATGGACTTTTGGGGAGTTCCTGACATGTACAATGAAGTTATTTACTGATTTACAGCCTTATCTTTGTGCCTGAGAATTTCTTAGCACCAGTAACAGAGTCCCCGGGACATAGCTGCCTTAGCTCTTAGTCCTAGAGTTATTCTCTAATGGATTCAGTGGTTCTCGCCTCACTTCTAAGAGCGAGAAAAGGGCTTAGCTTGTGGAACAGCTGGTGGAAAAAATAGTAATAAGGCATACTTGGCATTTGCCGCCTTGTTAGATACGTAGATCGAAATACAGGGTCCAGCACAAATAACGCCCCTTGTTTATTACAGAATCATAAGCCTGTCATTCTGTAACATAACACCGTCACACTCAAGCACACCATATGACATTTTAGGCAAAATGTTCAAATTAAAACTATGTCTTATCACACCCATGTTATCACCCTGCCAACCCCACTCACGCAGGTGTCACTTCTGCTGGACCCTGTATATTTTGTCATTTGGGGGACGTAGGTTTGAAAAGGGAAGAACAACAAGGTGATTGTTTCTGGGTTCTTTTTTCTTTTTTAATTACAAGATCATGCAGTGTGTTCATTTCAATGTCCTCAGTGTTCTTTATATGTAGTTAGTTTCATTCCATTGATAAAATAAGTTAATATTACTCTGAAATCAGGCCACACGGATTTGCATTCTGGCTCCACTACTTACTAGCCACCAGGCGTTGGGTAAATGACTTAATCCCATTCTGCCTGTTTCCTCTTCTGGGAAATGACAATAATAGTACACCTTCCTCACAGGGTAACTGTCAGGATTAAGTGCATTAAAGGTAATGGTTAAATAACTACATGACCGATGAAATGTAGGGATTAATATCCTAAGCACGGTGCCCAGTGCTCAGCTAAATGCAACACGTGTTAGACATTATTACTCTTACAGTTATTCTGTTAACTACTATTACCATTACTACTAATACCATTTTTTAATTTTTAAGTAAAATTGAATGACTCCTTAGTAATAAAGCGATAGCTTAAAATGCTAGCTAAACCCAATATTCATATCTATCACCCACAGAAAAAAAGAAACCCTGTATCACTGTTTAAAAAAACAAAGCATCTTCATTATTTTTCCCAGTTAAAAGTCTGGGTCCGGTGGAGTCCACGAAGCGGTTGTTGCTTGTGTCGCGTTGACCCAACGGCCGCCCTCCGCTGCCTGGCCTGACGGCCCGTCGGGTGGGCGCTGGGCGGAGGAGGTTGCACACCCGGGAGGGCAGCTTCTGCGCTTGTCACGGCCCCAAAAGTCAGCCTTTTGAAGAGTTAGAATGCTGAAGTTTGGTCCAGAATTTTTCCTTAGACTTCTGCACTGAACAGTTTTACGAGATTGTTCATAACATTGTCCTTTCTGAAATGTAGTTTCTTCCTCAGTAAAATGAGTCAAGATGGTTAAACCCAGATATTCTGTTACTTGGTGAAATTACATGGAAAATTCTTAGAAAAGAAAATGGTATTCTGCATCTCAGTGTTGTGTTTTGGCTGTAAAAATCATTTCTATTTTCATGGAGGCTATTTGAAAGCAATTGTAGATTTTATTTTTAAAAAGACACATAGAGACAGTTTCGGGTTGTCTGTTTGGATTTCATTTATTAACAAGCAAGTTATTTAATAGAATATCGGCCAGTTTGTAAATGCAATGCCAGAATTGTCTGGATATGCTAATTGAAATAGGACTGTTACCAGCAAAATCTTATTTATCAAGTTCCTCACTTTTAAAAAATGGGGTTGTTCGTGCTCAGAACAGCTTTCAGGGTGTTAGTCTCCACCTTGAATGGTGTTTGGGTGCTGGGCGGGCCCAGGGCCCTGGAGGGACCTTCCATCCTGCCGACCACCCACCAACCACCACCCCCCTCAACCCCGATTTGGGCTGATCAACTTGATAATGTTCCCAGCTTTCTCTATAGTTGATTTTCTCCTAGTAATTCAGCCTCTGGGATACTGTGGAAGAGGCGTGGACCTTTTCATGTAAAGAGATTTGAGTTTAAACATCGTAAATCTAACTCA